TGGACCGGGTCCAGTCTGAAAGTGAGATCATCCATAGCAGGTACCTCTGCACTCCAGCAGTGGTGAAATTACAAATCATGCCTCTGCCTTTTGGAGTCATGCCTGTGGCTGTCAGAATCTTCCAATACCTGATAGGACTTGTAGTCAACAACAACTGGAGTGCTGGGGTTGCCTACCCTGATGCTATAGTGTTGAGAGATGTCAACTGCTCTGTGTTTGGGCACAGCAGATAATTGTCTAAATTGTGGGCATTGAATACATTTCCCAGAACTCAGCTCTGCCAGTCAGGAATGGGACTAAATTCAAATCTGCTTCAAGCATTTTCATAAAAACAGATGTCTCGATACATGAGCTCACAACGCAACCTCTAGCAAAAACTACCTCTGAAGGCTCGTTCACACCGAATGCGGTGTGTTCCAGAGCGGTAGCTGCTGGAACGCACCGTGAAGTCTTTTTATTGCTGGCCATATCTCAGTTGAAGAGAGTTTTCCTCACTTCCTGTCCTATAGATAGTTATCAGCAGGGCAGGAAGCGAGCAGAGATCTCCCCATAAGGGACAAAGATTGTGATAGAAAACTGTCAGATATTCTACCAACCTTTTACTCTATCTAAATCAAAGGAAAATATTTGAATAGAACTTTAAATTATATCACACTTGCCTAAACATCAAACTGAATAAATAAAAACTGGAACGCCAACAGAGCAGATTCCACCTAGATGTTCTTTGCTTCCTGTAACCTGTTGATAAACAATACAAGTCCTTGAGGCCACATGAAAAGGAGTGTGGATTTCCCTCTTTGTTTCTCTTGTGTGCCAAGCTTTCCTTCCTCTGAGAAATATACGCAGAGGAAAGTATTTCTGTTAAAACAGATCACTAAAACCTCACATAATCTTTAACATGATAATGGTATTCCAAAAGTCGAATTTAAATTGTTTTAAATGTGCTGCTTTCACTAAAATAATACCTGGTGATCCTGTCACTAAAGTCCTTGTTCAGGCACTTCCTGTTACATGGTGACAACGCTCTGTCTTTGTGCTCCTGTGTTGTCACACTCACATGGGCTTTGATAAAGACTACAAGTGTGCGATTTAACACACACTGCGCAGGCATGGTTCCCTGTTGTTACTAAAAGGAAACCTACCCTAAGAAATGGTATATACCCATCAGTGGAGTTCATATATGCAGAAAAAATGTGGCTAAAAAGAGGCTGCGGGAGATCAGCATTACTAAGATGATAAAAAGGATGGGGAAAAAAAGATATAAAAAAGAATTTTATTAAAAACTATAATTTTTTATTATACTAAGTGCTTTAGCATAATAAATGTCATTCAAGTAGACGAGCCACCAGTGGCAACTTAATAGAGAGATTGAACTTTCAATTCCATTTTTTGTCAAAATCACAGCACAATCAAAGACATAAAAGAGTGATTTTGATCATCTTAAAACAGTGTTTTTTGAAGACATAGACAGTTTTTTTCTGGTTATGATTTGATCCTTCAATAAACGGACTGAAGTTGTCAATGCATTGCCAAATTTCGACTTAAAGTGACACTAAACTCAGGAGTTCAATCTTGAAAATCCATTCAAATACTTTAACTAGTAACAATAATGTATCTTATTTGTGTATCACTCAGCTGTAGATCCTCAAATCATCTCTGAATTGGTGCTGACACTGTCCTTCCTTCTGGAGGGTGACTACTTTTGTTCCCCATGGTCCCTGTGTGTGTTGTAAGGTAGTCACCACTCCAAGCTCACTACCATGATGGACTACAATCTCAAAGAAAATTAGTAAACTAAACATGAGATTGTAGTCCATCACAGGAGTGAGCTTGGAGTGGTGACTACTTTACAACATACACAGGGACTATGGGGAACAAACGTAGCCACCCTCCAGAAGGAAAGACAGTGTCAGCATGAATTCAGAGATTATTTGAGGATCTACAGTTAAGTGTTACTTTAACAATCAACAGCAATCTGATTGTTGATCGTACTCATGGGTGGTCATTAGCATAGTTTCTGGCAATTACTTTCGATGTCTGTTTGAGGCACTTTTTTTTTACTTTTTAGATGTCTCCAACTCTTTGAGCTCCCTGGACCTCCTGATACCTAAAGCTCTGCTGTGCACATACCAACTTCCCAAAATCAAGTCTGATCCCCATATCTAGCTATTGATTCCTAAGCATGATTGGCAGACTTAAAGCAGAAAATAACAAAGCTATACTCACCTGATCTCTGGAGCTGGCCGACTGTGACAGTGTGCTCTCCAGCCTCTCCCTACCTACGCTGCAGTGATGGAATCTCCCTCGGCATACTCACTTTCTAAACAGTCACTGCTTATAAAACGTGATGATTTACAGGACCTTAGAAGGCTGGAGCAGAGGGGGGAGAGGTTCCAGGGACCTGGAGTAAGCTCCGAGGATCGGATGAGTACAACTTTGTTATCTTCCTACCTAGATCAAAATGGGCACTTAACCCTTGCAGTGCACGGGTAACCCCACTGCAAGGGTTAATAATAATTCACCCCAGAGTTCTGTTTTACTAACCAGTAAGTAGAAGCCTGAGAGGGATGGGGAGCCCTTGATTTTTGGGATATCAGTATTTGGAGATAAGTGTGCACTGGGTTAAGGTATCCTCTGGCCCTTGAAAAAGACATTGGCAGGTACAGTATATGTGTTACCTAATAAATGGAAAGGTTTGCTTTAGGGCTTGTTCACACCAAATGCGGACCAGATCTGGATCAGTTTCTGCATATGCAGTGCGGTGCGTTTGGATGTGTTTTTGTGACACGTTTGTGATGCGTTCCGGTCCTTCTTTTGGGGGGGGGGGGGGGGTTAGCCTAAAATGGGCTTCTAGGTGTAGTCCAGTGTGTTTCAGAGCGTTTGCATGCATTTTTTATGTGTTTGCATTCGTTTTGGTGCGTTCCAGAGCACAAGAAATAGTGCCTGCTGCAGTTTTTCCACATGCACTGGAACTGAATGCTGTGGTGTGAACTAGAGCCCAAATTACCATTGGAATACATTGGATGCGTTCTTAAACTGCTCTGCTCTGCTCCGCACTTGGTGTGAACAAGCCTTCACATGAGTGCTATGGGACTGGTGGGTCATGTCTGACAATAAAAAGCTAAGTGCACTTTTCTACAAACTAATTGCACAGAAATAAAGTACTGTGTTCTTATTTGTAAATATATATTTGTTTGGCTAAGCACAGTCAGTACCCTACACAGAGGCCTCAGAAGCAAGCCTGTCCCTTATCTTGAGGAGTGGAGCAGTCATAGGTGACAAAATCAGCATACATGAAAGATAAACAGACAGACATTTTTGGCCCTAAAGTCTTCAAAGCGTTATACACTCACATAGGCTGGCGAAACTGCAAAATCACCCCCATGCTAGTGGTTTATACAAAAGTGCAGTTCTCCTTAAAAATGTCCATATTAGTATGTGGTCCTGCCAAACGGAAAATGTGAGCATGTTAGATAGGGTTGTGTGACAGGACCATCATGCTTTCTATAAAAAGTGACTGTTGCTTCCTGAAAGAACTCCAAAGAATGACTCCTGCAGTAATACTTACCTCTCCAGCAGGCGGCAACACTGATTCTACTGTGTTCAAGTGAAACAGCCTCAGAAAAAGTCTTCAGAATTTGATATATTGAATGTCTGTCTCCCTAAGTCACTACAGGACACAGTAGTGACATAATGGACATCGGGATTAAGCATTCAGCGAAGCAGGGGTCCAGGCATCCAACACATCTTGAAGTGCATTGGATGTGAAGGCTTTGCCAGCGAAGTTCATATTCGTTGTCCGCAGAAGAAAATATTTACACTTTTCTATGGCAGTGACTTTTTTGCGAGTCTTTTCAGGAAGCAACAGATTTACCGGTCATGGGTGAAACACAGAGGCTTTAATTTCAGAAACTTTAAGACTGTTTGAGTCACTGGCCCAAAAGTATGCATATCATAAACAATTTAAGTAAAGTCAAAAAACCTAATCTACATACTTGCATACTTACCAATATCTATGTCCCACTCTTCTGGACAGTGTCACCTCAGCCCACGGCCCACACATATCACACCATCCTTCAGAGTGGTGCCAGATCATGCCTACTGTCTGGCCTGACATCCCACTTCCGGGCAGTCCTGTCCCTATATATGTAGGAACCACCCACTTGCAGCTGGGATCCCTTCAGTAATACCCTTATTTAATACCGCTGCGCATGCTTAGGAACTCAAATAAGGTTGATGTTGTGATCTCAGGATCATTGGAAAAGAGCACCTTGAAGCCGGACTGTCCAAACTAATCTGGGACAGTTGGCATCCAAGTACTTGCTGACTCAAAATATTGAAGCAAGTAGGTCAGCATGACAGCCAGGCAATTAGCATTCCCAGCAAAGCCAGTTTCCACTAAACTTCCACTATGCAAAGTCGCTCTGCTAAAGTACTTCCCTGGCCGCATGCTGATCCCATGCTAGTGAAAATAAAATACAAATGCCCATTTCCCTCCAGCTCCCTCCTGCAATCGCTCCTATGTGTATGAAGCGGATCAGGGCACATGTCATGCGTGGGAAATGCCTGTCCTCTAAATGTTTTGAGGCTCTTATTCACTATATGACACCCATGTGCATTAGGCGACAGGAAGCAAGAAAGATTCTCATCATAAGAATGTTCCAAAAATATACATATTTGTGATGGAATTCCATCCTTGCTGTCCTGATAGGCCATCCCTCTCTATAGGGACTTCCATAGCGGATAAGAAGTCTATACATATTAATAGAAATGTGAGGGAAAATGAAGGAGACAGCTGTGTGTGACAGGGGGGTTTATGACGACCAAATAAAACATTATTTATCCTGCTTGCAGCAATGCGCTCAGTGACAGAAAACACTGGAGTGCTGAGTTTGTTCTGCACTTCAGTGTTCATTGTACTGAGTAGTAGGTTTCCCTCCCACCATGTGAATGGGGAGGTGCAGGCTGCTGCTATGAGGAATGCTCTGTACACACTGATCAGCTCTGCTTGTCATACGATGGTCACCTATAAGAAGTGTAGGGAAGCTGGGACTACACACACACATCACACTGACTGAGCTGTGTGCTGCAGGAGAAGGGAGACTGCCAATGAAAGGTGCTGCACTCTCACACACAGATCTATCTGGTCATTATAAAACTTCAGGATGTTTCTTCCTCTCTGATAGCCTAAAGCACAAAAAGGAATGTACCTATTCTGCAGCCAAATAGGACAAACATAACACAGCAACATGGCAAGTCAAAGGAAGAAAAAGATCTGAGATCTGCAGAATGTTTGGATTGTCTACATGCAAGAAATTATTCTGCTAAATTCATTGCAGGAGTTGGATGAACTGGGATTCAGGAGGTCTGGAGTCTGCCTCATCTGTGAGTAGAACCTGTAATGGTATATGTTAGAACTGCACAAGGTCTTTTACATTGACTGATCACCACAGCACACATTACCGATGGATCTGCTGGGCAGAACGATGGCATAAAGTTAGCGTTTAACTTCACCAGACTTTATCATGTGACCAAGATGGAGTTTACAACTTTAACGTCTAATGGCATCTATAATGATTCCGGGAACAGCAGCCAGCAAGAGTTGAAGACCTGGCCTTATGCAGCATGGGAGTGCACACTCATTATTATTGCCGTAGGGTCCATAATCGTCTCCACTGTTGTTGGCAACATCCTGGTGGTTTTGGCCGTATTCTCCAGCCAGGCTTTGCGGGCTCCGCAGAACTTGTTCCTGGTGTCCTTGGCTTCAGCAGACATTCTCGTGGGAGCTTTAATTATTCCATTTACGTTAGCCAGGGAGGTCATGGGCTACTGGCACTTTGGAAATATATGGTGCAGCACGTACCTGGCTTTAGACATCCTACTCTGCACCTCTTCGATAGTTCACTTGTGTGCCATCAGTATCGATCGGTACTGGTCTGTTACCAAAGCAGTCAGTTACAACCTGCGGCGGACACCTAAGCGGATCAAGACCATGATTGCAATCATCTGGGTGGTGTCTGCAACCATTTCATTTCCACCGCTTCTTAAAATGGACTCTCATAAAAAGAACAAGTGTGACCTGAACGATGACACCTGGTATGTTTTGTTTTCATCTACTGTATCCTTCTTTCTTCCATGCATCATTATGATATTTCTGTACTGCCGTATTTACCGAGTGGCAAAACATCGCGCATCAACAGTGTCCAATCTCAGGAATGGGCTTCATAACTGCGCCAATGTCCCACCAGGTGCATGCTGCCACCAGGACTGCTTAGAGCATCATAACCCAGAAGTCAACCATGACAACGATGAAATGGACTTAGAGGACAGCACTTCATCTATTCACAAATTACCGGAGTCAGCTCACCACAACATAGGCGATGGGATCAATAATACCAAAACTAAAAGGCTTTCGTGGACTGTAAACCGGGGACAGCAACGAAGAGACCGGTCAGTCTCCATCTCTCAGGCACGCTTGACGCAGCTGAGAGAGAAGAGGTTGACATTTGTATTAGCGGTGGTGATTGGTGGATTTGTAATCTGCTGGTTCCCATTCTTTTTCACCTACAGCCTGGAGTCTGTATGTCGGGGCAAATGTGGCATTTCTGACGCACTTTTTAACTTTTTCTTCTGGATTGGATATTGCAACAGCAGCCTAAATCCTGTCATATATACTGTCTTTAACCGGGATTTCCGGAAAGCATTCCGTAAACTGCTCATGCGTCGTTCAAAAAGGAGCATGTGAGAAAAAAAGTGATGTACACAGTGGAGAATAGGAACTGTTAGCAGATTTAAGAACTTAACTTTTGCAAGTTCCAACAAATGTTTTTGTATCTTGTCTAGGCAACCTTTATGTATTAGACATTAGTCTTCTAAACCTTTTATCATACATTACCTGAATAAGGCTTTTCTATGCTTATGGAACTCATCGGGCTTCAGGAGAGGACTTTGTAGTATTTTTTGACACATAGTGTCACTGTCCTCTTCACAAATGAATGTCTACATTTCACAAAAAATATCCTCCAGCTGAGCATGTGTGGTCTATCTATACAATATAGGAAGGTTTGTCCGGAGGTTAGTGATTTATGTTTATCATGCGTTTAACCCCTGTAAGAATTTATACTAGTTATTCATTTGTTTTTCATTCCATACTTTTTCTAGCCGATTTATATAACAGGTAAAATGTTTCATTTACAAAGCAACAATGCAGATTATATCCCTTGTCTTCTAATTCAAGAAAGAAAAGAAAAAGCTAAAATGAATACATAACCAAAAATGTTGTTTTTAGTTTTGGATAGAGAAGAGAAGAGTTAAAGTGTAACTAGGCAAAGCTTCTTCTTTAGATTTAGATTGTGGTGAGGGGTTAGAACTCCCATTAGATGTTTATTGTTGTCTGTGCCCCAGTTAGGAAGTTAACTCTCTCTAACTGATCACCAATGTCCTGATCCCCCCCACACACACACATTTTTTATTCAAAATAAAGAAATACTTTTGGCGCTACACTTTTTGTTACCTGAGGCTGGGAGGG